TTTTTTTGCAGCGACTCGGGCCGCTTGGTGGCAGTGTTGCCGTGTCGGAGACGGTTGCAGACTGTGTTGGTTGGCTGGTACGTTGGCAGGCTGGTTGGTTGGTTGGTTGGTTGGTTGGTTGACCGGTTAGGCGCACTCGGCAGCGGATGGACAGAGAGCAGGGAGGGGGCTTTTGCGGCCTCCCACTGCCGGCGCACCTTGTCGTTTTTCGGTGGCTTGTGGTCAGGTTGCTGGGGCTGTTTTGCTTTTTGTTTTGTTTCACATCATGTTGTTCTGCAGTGAGTTTACCTCCGAGGAGTTCTCCTCGCCCAGGACCTTGTGGTTCTCGTGTTTGGGGGTCAGAGAGTTGTGGATGTTGAGGGAGTCATCCTCCTTGGGCGGAGCCTTCACCGGGTCCTCCAGCTTGTTCTGGGAATTAGGATCATCCTACCCGGGAAGGGATGGAGGTGGAGGGGTGGGGGTATAAAGCACAGTTAGAACCATGGTAGCTGTTAGCACGTCTATGTTCAGTAGCAGCTTTGACCCTATTTGAATTATTGTACCCCCTCTAAAAGTGGATTCCCTCCAAGATGACATTCATCTTTGCTAAAATTAGTGACTGCCCTCCCACATTAACTGATTCTGCAGTTTAGAATTTATGTCCAGTGCTAATGTTCAGTGCCAATTTAGGAATAATTGTTTTTTTATCTAAGAAGGTGGAGGATAAAGATGTGGAGGATGGAGAAGCTAAAACAAAGGGATAGCCAAGACTAGTCATGAACCAACAATCAACCACCATTTGTCTCTAGTTTTTACCACTAACCAGAACCAGACTACTGTTTTCATCCCATATCACATGATCATTTTATAAACATTAGCATTGGACATCCAACAATTTCCGCTAATTTTTTTGTAGACTCATCGAACTCTTTCTTATCTGATGGCAGGGTTTAAGAAAATAAAGATAAACTTTGACACAATGCACTTTATTAGAATTCCTTAGCTTCCATGCACTGAATCAGATTTTCATGTTCCATCGTCATGCTTTAAAGGACCACACAGTTGTTTTCCAGCTGCTTAGCTACAAATCTTTACATTTTGGGGAGGCGATCATTTTTGGTTGCTTGCTTTACAATTTGGATCAATTATTATTCCAGGTAGCCATTGGTTTCCATTCATTTCTGTACGCTGACGAACTCAAGAAGCAGAATCCTGAAGCTTGTGATGAAAATAATACTTTCCACTCAGCAGTGGGCATTTTTCACTGCAGACATGTGACATGACACAGAACAGCCTGGCCCTGAATAGTGAAATAATGATGGCTGAATTCCATTTTCACGGCTTACTGGCACACTTGGAGCAGAGCCATTGTTCACGTTATCAGCAACACATGTGCAATTTCTACAAACACTTCAAAATATTTGCTGTGAGAGCAATCTATATTGTATTATCATAATGTGGCAAAAATAACATTCGCTGCATACAATATAGAAATCAATGGAAACCAATGGGAGCCTGCAGTGCAGGATTGATAACACTTCACTTTAACCTCCTCTGTCTGGCATTTATAAGCAATGCACAGACATTTAGTCAGTGGTTTATGGCACACTACAATGCTGTCAGCAAATGTCATGAAATGTAATGAAAAATGTTAATATACAGTCGTGACTCAATAATCCAACACTAAATGTAAAACCTTTTATGTCGGATAGCAAGGCTGTCGGATTGTCAAGACGGAGGTCGAGATACGAGGAGGGCTTGATGCTGGAAGGCTCATTAGTTGTTAGTATTTATTGTTCATAGTTGTTATAATAACTAGTAGGGCTGGTCCCAATAGAACTTTCTGGTCTCTGGATATTCAGGCCCAATTAATGATGAATATCCAAATATTCGGCGCGGTCGGGGGACACTTCCACCCCGGGGCAGCGCTCTGACGGGGTGGAAGTGTCCAGAACACACAGGCAGTACTTGGCTGCTGATGCTAGTTTAGTTAGCGCTCACACTTCTGTTTCCTCCATCGGTGGCGGCGGGGGAGTGGCAGATACGCTCCACCGTTACCATCCATGTTTACTTCCATAAACACTGAGCACGCTCGCTGCGTGTGACGTCGTCGTGTCCTCTTCTGCGCATGCGGGACACTTTTGGGTCGTATGAAGTTCACACAGCAGATCACATACAAGTCGCATTGAACTGGAAACGTGAAGGAAGTCACAAAGAAATCCTGATTGAGCATCAAGTCCTGCAGTGTGAACGTAGCCAATCTGTGGGATTGTTCAGTCAGATAATACGCCGTCATCCTGATTGGTGACATAAAATGTCATGTCGGAGTAGGAATCCAAGGCTGTCGCTATGTTAAGGCTGTTTTTATGGGTTTCGTTTGTTTTTCCTGAAAACCTGTTTGATAGCAAGGTTTAGGATTGTTAAGGGTCGGATTATGGAGTCACGGCTGTACATTATTCTGTAGAGTTGCCGATCAAATACATCAGTTTATGCTTATATCTGTTTACCACTAACTGCATTATAGTGTGTTATAAGCCAGGGGCCAAAGGAAAGCGTTATCAACTGATGGCGATCTACGGTATATTTGATTTGTAGTAAAGGGATTTAAACCTGCAAAAAAACACATGAATAATCCTTTAAATACTGTCAGAATGGAGCAAAATCCTGTAAAATGTTCAAGAAAATCAAAATACATCTAACGTAGGCAAAAATCTGTTTTAGTAGCAGCCACTGGGCGGACGGCTCCACTGTCTGAAAATCATCATGCTCGGCTGGCACGTTGTGTTTGGTTGAGGAGACACTGAGGTGAGCTGCATGAGCGACACCACACCGCACCACCCACCCCGCTTCCCCGCTTCAGGCAACCCAGGAAGCACATGCACATCCACATGCAAGACCCTCGCAATGCACCCCGTGGACAGTAATGAGCGCTCATGCGGAACACCCCATCTCCTGCCGCTTCACCTCCACCGACCACTTATTGTCCCAAAACACAACACAACTGAAAAAAATAAAACAAACCGTCCGCCCTGCTCGATTATCTGTGGGTACCACCATCATACATACCCACGCAGTCGCTGGGGGGGGAGTGGGGGGGAGGGGAAACATTGCGTTTTAGAGGTTTCCGTTTAATTCGTCTGAATTTAATTAAGGTCAGAGGGGAAAAATTGATTGCAGAGTCCATTTTAGCTCTGTTTTCCAGCCTCTTATCTCCATTAATTTTGCATGGCATCATCGACCCTGCTGTGCAGAAGCATCCCGGGGCGTCAGTCTGCGCCTCGCTGTCACACTCGCAACCACACGGGCACCATACAGACGGACACGGTGAGGCGGACGCATTCATTCACACACGTGTACACACACACACACACACACACACACACACACACACACGCATCAGGTTCCAGACCCTGAGGCCTGTGCCATTTACAAACACTCCATAATTGAATGTTTGCGTTTGAATTCAATGGCACTTTCAGAAAGGAAGAGCAGTGAGAGCATTTACCCGATGGCTGTTGGCCTAGATAGTAACTTCAGGCAGGACGTGTGGATACGTCACTTCCATGGTTACGGGATAGGGGCCCTCTGTCCTCCCGTCAGCGTGAAACTGGAAAATGTTTGTGTTTGTTGGATTTCATTGTTGCTGTGCATGGGTGGAAGGGTTGCGGGCAGTGGGTGGGAGGCACAGAGTCACGAGGACTTTTGAGTGGGTGTCATTTTGGGGGAGTGGGAACAGAGATAAACAGGGTTCTGATGGAGATGATGATGGAGGCACATGGACAGCTCCTGATGTCCTTTTGTCATGTAGCGGACTGTGATCCGGTTTAAAGGCGCTGCATAATGTGTCAAAGCATTAGCAATGTTTTGTGTTCATTTTGGTGGATGCCGTTGTGTCCAGAGACACGATGAAAGTTTTGGAATTAAAGGACAAACCCCCTCTAACACGTCGTATGTAATTATTGCATCTTTCAAATAATTGTGAGCATGTATGTGTTTGTTTGTAGAACAATTAAACCAGATAAAAACTTGTGTCTTTGTATTTGTAGCCACATTAGCATTAGCTGTGTTTCCGTGTAATTATCCAACGAATTTGAAATGAACTTTTGAAATGGCACAATAAAAGAAAATGCATTAATTGCTTTTCAACGAATAAACTCAGCTGTGGAGTGTTGTCAGAAGGTGGCGATGGAGGCTACGTTACAAATGGCTGCAATAAACAGAGTAGAACAAGAACTTTGGCCATTTCAAAAGAAAAGAAAACTCATGGAAGTCTTTTGAAGTCAATCTGGAAAGCTGCGATTATTCCTCTATGTCAGCTGGTACTGATCGTGTTTCATGCTGTCTAGAGACAAAGACATCAGAAAAACTAAATGTTTTCAATGTCAGAGCTTATTCAGAGAAGGTGCTTCCATCTTTCACAACGTATTTTCCCAAATGTTGTTTCCATTTCACTTCAAAACGCACATAAAAGTAAATTACGGAAGCACAGCTATTGTGGCACAAAGAAATACTGTTTTGTTTATGCGCCATTTTTGGGTCATGAGTGAAATATCTCAACAATTATTGGACGGTTTGCCATTTAATCAAATAAAGACGTTCATATTCTCTTCAGGAATATTTTAAATAACACTTTTAACTCTTTAAGTTTTGGTCTCGCACCATCATCAGGTCAGTACTTTTGGTTCATGACTAAATGACATTCGAATCATTGCACGATTTAGTGTTAATTAGCGAATGTTAGCATGCTAACATGCTAAGATAAGATGGTGAACTGCTGAGCGTCACCATGGTCGCGTGACCTCTGTGTCGGCATGCAGTCTTGCTGAAATACTATTTGTAGTTGCAAGAGTGAGAAATGTTCCTACAATATAAATACAGTGAGGGCTTCAAGGTAAGCAAAGGAGACGACTATTTTCTTCTTTTCCAGAAATGATGGGGCTTTATGGGAAATGTGGTCCTACAGTTATGATTTTAGCTCCCAGTCGCTGTGCTGCATGTATGAATGTGGATCATCAGCTCCTTCCCTGCAGCTGATTACCATTTGAGAGTCAATACACTTGTGTGTTCGCGTGTTTTTTTTTATGCTTGGGGACACTTCAAATTAGAATATTAGTACTGCTATGTGTGTGTGTCTTTGTGTATATTTGCCTGCTTGTATTAAGAGACACCACGCATGTGTACACACACTTGTTTGCATTTACTGACTGGTGTTTACCTCTGAGTGTATACAGTGTGTGTGTGTGTGTGTGTGTGTGTGTGGGTCTATATTAGGACGATGTGTGGAGTCCAGAGGGGAGAGAGGACGAAGCGGACACTGCAGAGCTGCCTTGGTTTTTAAAGGGGCTTGTGGCTGCTTGATTGGCACAGAGCAGCCTGTTGGCTCAGGTGTAGTTTTTAAGTTTTTGTTCTGTTCTGTATGTGTTCGTTTTATGTACTTCAAAGGCCTA